AAACGCTTTTTCAAATTTAATAATTTTTTTCTCAAAAACTATGAAGAATATAAAATATAAAATAAAAAAAGGAATCATTAATAATCTTTATTTAACTACAGCCTAATTTAGCAATTTTTTACTTTTACAAACATAAGAACAAGAAAGTAACATGAGGGGGGGGGGTTAATAATTTAGACGTAGTTAATTTTAAGTTTTCCGCTCTTTCCGATTCAAGCCGCCGAAAAACCCGTTTCACAGTAGCATTGAATGCTTTTCAGGTGATACTGAGATTTTCGGTTTTCTTTTTTTGGGTGTGTTGATAATGTTATTGATGATTATTATAGAAAAATCTGATTTTTTATCTTTATAGATAATGCTGTCAACCACATTATTTTGTTTTAGATACGGATTTTATTACTCACAGCTTACAGTGAAATATGTGGTAATCCAGTTTCTCCATTGCTACAAGTAATTGAAAAGGACATATTAGATTTTGCAGTTACAGAATTGGCTAACTGTAAGGATGTGACGGTGCGTTCTTGTTGTTTAACTGCAATTCAATCAGTGGCCGAAGCAATGCATCCTGATAGAAACAATCTTCATGTTAGAATGCGAAACAAAAATTTAGTCATACAAAATGTCTCAAGTCAATTACAGTTACATTGTGGACCGGAATTTGTACAACTTTTTCCACAAATTCTTTCTGTATTAACGGCCTTGGTAAGTTGTTTGATAAAAATAACAGCTTAGTGCTTATTAAAGAAATTCTGATTTTATTATAGGTACATAGTTATTAATCTATTTATTTTTTTTAATTTTGGTGCTTACAATTTTATAATCATTTATACGACTTCATGAAAATATGAAAAAGTAGTTTTCTTCAAATCGCATAACTGACATACTTGATTACCTCCTTTGCAGCAATGTAAGTCTTTTCAAATTGTAATAGTTATTTTCTCTTCTTCGATTAATCGATACCAAAAGTGAAATTAGTGAATAGTACAGAGTGTCCCATAATGTTTTGCTATTTTTAAACTGAAATAATACAAATGTTTTTGCCCAAAAAAAAGTAATTGATTGTTAAAATATTAACAATGAACGCGGATTTTTATTTATTAAAAATAATGTTTTCAAGATGTCTTCCGTGTCATGTCATGCCTTTTAGAAGTCTAGACCTTAAATTGTCAAAAACAGTCCGTATCATGTCCTCTAGAATAGCGTTTATTACAGCCTGAATTCGCAGTTGTAATGCTCATGTGTCTCATATACCTTGGACTTTAGATATCCCCACAAGAAAAAGTCCAGAAGAGTCAGGTGTGGACTTCTTGGGAGCCAACGTAGATCACATTACTTTGAAATGACTTTTCCCTGAAAAATGTCTCCTAGCGTTGTTAAAGTTCTTCTAGCGGTGTGGACTGTGACCCCCATCTTGCTGAAAGCAATATTGGCATCAAACCCCACGAATCCTTGAAGCGCTGGTAGAAAGAAATCGTTTAACATTTGAACATAACGGTCACTATTTACTGTAACACTAAGGCCTCGGTCGTTTAAAAAAAAATGCACCAATAATTCCGCCCGCAGATATTGCGCACCATACCGTGACTTTAGTAATGTATCGAATAAACCATCAATTATTGCTTGTGCAAAATTACGACTAATTTCGTAGTCCTCCGGCTTTACATAGTGCACAATTTGAATTTTATATTAATGAAACTTCAGTTCCTTTGACAGCATTGGATGCACAGATAATTTGGAGAACGCAACGCTTATGCATGTTCCCTTACCAATTTACAAGGATTTCGCCTAATTGCAAACCGAACAGTAGCGACGTTCTTAGGTGTGTTTACAGACCGAGGGCGGCCCAACGGCTTCTTGTTTATACACGAATCTGTTGTTCTGAACTTCCTTAAGAATGGCTGCACTAACCGGCAACACAGCAAATATTTAAACGTACTATTTTTTGTTTTTTAAATAAAGCTCTACGAAGAGTGTGCTATGATCCCCCGTCCAACTCTCCATTCTTACTACATAATCTGCAACCTTCCTCGACCTGGCAAATACAAAGTCGTGACACTTCTGTAGTGTTGCTAAACTAGCACTCTCTAAAAATAGTAGAGCATTGTGGGACACCCTGTATATTGAATAAAGAATAATTTGAAATTAGCAATATACAAAATCGAGTACTTAAGTTGGTAGCATATGGAAAACCTTTTTTCTTATTAATCTTACGAAAAAAAATTACTCTTTATAAAAAGTCCTGCATGCTCTAAAATACATAGAGACATGAACATACTTACTTAATAATTTGTCAGTCATATACAAATTTTTCTTTACTTTTGAAAATAGCAGAAACCTTTATAAAGAAAAGTTTTTGAGAATTACAAAGGTGTTACAAATATGTAGCCGTTTCTATCGATTGCTAAAATCATGATTTCGTATTTTTCTTCTTACTCTTGCCCCATATGTGTGAATATTTATGCATGCATATTAATAATAATTCGATTCTGATCAAAGTTGTCGTATAAATGACATGTTTGTCAGTATTTCACTGAATGTTAAATATTAGTTTTAAAATCAAAAAAGCAGTAATTGAAAGAAAAAATTATATATGACTGACAAATTATTACGTGTTTTAGGTCAGCAGGACTTTTTATAAGGAATAACTTTTTTTCATAAGCTTAATAATAAAAAAATTACCTATATGCTGTCAACTTAAACAGACACACTATGTATATCAAAAATCCTATTTTATGACTAATCTTGTTGTAAGCAACTATCACACATATGAAAAGGTTTCCAAAGACGTTGAAATAATCTAAACACTAAAAAATTGAAAAGAAGCTGTTGAACCATAATATAATTACAGTAGACATACTATAATTACACGCATATTACTATGTACTATTATGCCCTTACTATAAACTTTAAATCTACTATAATTTTTATTTACCATATTTTTAGACTGGAAAAACAATTCTTTTGTAATCAATTTCAAAATGCTTTTTATTTGTCGCTAAAATGATAGTAGGTTACATTTCAATATAGCACTCCTAGCGTACAACACATAAGTCACTTCGATCTGTGGACCACTGAACAGCTGAATACTCCCAGTAAAATTAAAATATATATTGTAATGTTCGTGGGTTTAACAAATAACTTCTAATACTGATAACGACAAAAACTATTTATTTACACTAATTATTACTGAAGAACTTAAAAACACTATTAAATTATTAATAAACATAGGTTATGAATTATTCTATTTATTTACACTACTGTTGATTTATCATTATTGACTGCGCTATTTATTTCACTGCTATCACTGTCAATTTATTTTTGGATTCACTTCTGCAACGGTCAATTTATTTCTTCACTTTCGGCGATCGTCTCTTCCTTTAAATACTCCTTTGTTTACTTTCGGGAGCCTTCTCGAAACATCCAGGTAGTTTCTTTTTTTCTGAAACTTTTTAACTGCTTTCCCAGAACGCAGATACGACACACACATTTATAAAAACGGCGCGCAGGCGGCTAGTCGGCGAATCGATAAGCTGTTCACGCACACGTGTGCCCGATCGCACACAAACACACTCGTGCTCGCTACACTGCCCCTCCTTAAGGATGTTTCGTCCCGAAACATTTTCAATTTCCGTTTCGCAGCATCATGCCGGAATTTGCAGTTCTCGCCTTCACGACATCCGCTCCGGTAATAGAAGTAACAGTCCACGGTCTTCTCATGATTGGTCCGATACGGGTTATTAATGCAAACCAATACGCCTATTCCAGTACGGCGAAACAGGACTTCGATCATGTTCCGTACGATCCTCCAATCTAGGTTGTCCAGTGCGCAACCAAGCCTCGGAATCGTCAGCTTCTTATTCTCCAGAAGATGTCCGCGGAGTTCCATTACTGCGTCCCGAAGGTCACTATAAGTTGGTTTATCAGAGCATATTCCTTTAGTTCCTAGGTAATAGATAGATCGGATTTTTTGCGTCACTTCAAATCTCCTGTTAACATGGGGGTTTCGTTCATGAACTCTTCGAATGTGGGCTATGCCGACGAACTGACTCGTGGATATCGTTAATCTTTCTTCGGAGGTTGGTAACATAATCTTCTCCAGCCAAGTCATCTCCTGGTTTACAGCTTAATTTAGGTTACAAGGTAGTTGTAACTCTTTTCCAAAAAGGACACTGGCAGGTGTTTGGCCAGTCGTTTCGTGGACAGATGAACGATATGCTATTAAAAATAAAGCAAATAGCGGTCCCAGTCCCTTCGGTGACCAGACACTACCTAGGAGAGATATTTAATCAAGGTCCGGTTCATTCGCTCAACCATGCTGTCCGATTGTGGATGGAGTTGAGTAGTTCGAGTTTTCTTTATCCCTAGGGGCTCGCATATTGCACGGAATATAGCCGATCGAAATTCCTCCTTTGATCTGAGTGCAACTCCAAGGGCACCCCAAAACGACTGATCAACTCTTTTACCAGCTCCTCAACTATGGTTTCTGACTCCTGGTTCGGAAGGGCATAGGCTTCAACCCACTTGGTAAAATAATCCATAACGATCACGATGTACTTGTTACCTTTCTCAGACTTTGGCAATGGACCGGCCACATCGATTGCGATTCGTTCGAAGGAGCCACCGATATTGTATTGACGCATTGGCGCCCTTGGCCTTTTTTGTGGTCCATTACTCGCAGCACAGGTGGTACACTTATTACACCAATTCTTGACATCTTCCTTACAGTTCACCCAATAAATTCGCTCTCGAACTTTCCCAAGCGTCTCATTCACCCCAAAATAGTCACCAGATGATCCATCATGAAGATACTGCAACACCTCTCTAACCTTGTTCCTAGGAATAGCCAGTTGCTTCCTATCTTCCTCTCCATCTGGACTTTCAACAACACTCTTCAGGATGCCATCATCTAAAACCATTGAGTCCCACTAAGCCCATAACGATTTTAGTACTTGGGTACAGGAAATTTGCTGCCACGTTGGTCGTTTTCCGTCTCTTTTCCATTCCATCACCTTCTTCAAGTCCGGGTCGTTTTCTTGGTCGTGTTTTATATTTTCAGGTAACCACTCGTCGTCGATTAGCGTGACTCGTCGAATTGCTTCTTCATTCTTTTCCATTCGATCACACTACTTGCAGTCTGTTTGACAAGATCTTCTGGAAAGTGCATCGGCATTCTTGTGTCCGGTTCCAGGCCGGTGCTCTACATCAAAATTATATTCCTGTAGCTTCTCAATCCATCGCACTACCTGGCCCTCCAGATTCTTGAAATTCAGAAGCCACCTTAAAGCTGCATGATCGTTGCTTAGGGTGAATTTTCGTCCATATAGGTATTTATAAAAATGTTCTACACCTTTGACTACAGCCAGCATTTCTCGTCTAGTGACACAGTAGTTTCTTTCAGCTTTTGATAAGGTTTTGCTAAAACAGCCGATTACCTTCTCTTGGCCATCTTGTAACTGCGACAGAACGGTTCCCATTCCCTCATCGGTATCCAAAATGAACATTCCATTGGTCCGAGGATATACCAGTACGGGGACTGTAATTTGACAGGCCGAATCCCAATGAAATTTTCGGTCACTTTCGGTTAGACGTGTCAAAGTTTTGGCGATATTGGCGAATCCATAAACATAGCGACGATAATACGTGCACAATCCCAAGAAGCTTCTTATGTCGTGGACATTTTCAGGCACTGGCCATTCTTTCAC